TTAACTGCTTTGCCAAATGACTGCACCCATTCTGTATTTTTTAAAAAATATTGACATATTTCAAGTAAATTATTGTTCTACTCATCACTTCTTTTCAAAAACAAACATATATGTCAATGTAAATAAAGAAGTCAAAGCATAAGGGGCAAATAAAGACATTTATATTCAAGTAATAATTTTATGAAGTTTAACTCCTCCTAATCCCAGTTCTTCAACACTAAAGAACCTGTAAAGTATAATGGCATCATTCTTTTACTTCTTTCCCCATATACACATTTGTTACTCATTCTGCAAATTGTGCTTGAGCTTTATTTTAGGGTAATGACGCTAGCAGTAGGTGAATAAATTATTTGATTCCATATTTATTCATTATTATTTATTCTTTTCAGTCAAGCATAAAACCTGCTGATAACTAGGTACTTTGATTTCATGTAGAAGCATTAAAGGAAATAAGAATTTCACCCTGAAATAGGCCATGCTAGAAACACCAAGGTCTTGAGAAAAATACACTTTATAGCTTTACACTGCATGTATAAAAGGACAGTATCACAATAAGGAGTCTCAAAACTGAGTGAGTCAGGAGCAGTGCTATTTCAATTGCCCAGTGTAAGGTAACTCCTAGTTTCATGAAATTTCATAAATCCTTCCTTCCTCTTTCTTTCATTCTAAGTACAAAAGTTCAGGCAGTTTAATATCAAGCAATGGAAAATAAAATGAATTGATTTTATTTCTCCAGGGTTACTCCTGGGCTCTGTTAATCTTATGTTTCTAGTGTGCAGTTGTCATCATCAGAGACCCTTCAATTTATGTCTGTAACTATTACTTAGTAAAATTGTCTCATTTTTATTCGTATGCCTTGCTTTTTTTGTTTATTTTAATTGTTTTCCTCTTTATTTTACAACTAATCTTGCATCCAGATACTTGGAGAAAGCTAAGTGTGGTCTTCTAACTCACCTTCCTGTCTTTATCTTTTTCATTCCCCCTCTTTTGCAAGCAGTAAGAGGGCAGAGAGGGCAAAACACATTTCTTAAAGAAATTTCTTCTACTGAGGTTGCTCTGGGATTAGTGTAGAGAAGGATGAGAACCAGCAAACCCCACTGTTTAGAGGAGCAATACCAAGCGCTTCTCCTGGGAACTGGCAGTATCTTATGAAATTCTGACGTGTCTTAGCAAATGTCCAGTTGGTAGTCTTTCTTCTTATATTCTTCTCTATGTGCTGCAATCCTGTTAATTTTTATTTAAATGTGAAAGCCTCACCTCCGAGATTTATGGGCAAATGAAATTATGCACTGCATATATGTGGAAGAGATATAACTTTTTAAAACAGGTTAAGATAGCCAACTTTCAGTAATGTATCACAACTTATAAGTGAAGAACTTAGAAACAGCATCAAATAAATGGTCAGAATACATTATGGTAGAGACAACAAGTAATTTGAGTTAACAGAACTGGTTGAAAACTCTCACTCTATAGAAGAAAACAAACGTTAAAATATATTCTTTTGTTTGTTATTAGGATAACACTTTTTTCTTAAATAAGAGCTTCCATACCCTTTTAAAGGAGAGGGAAAATGATGTAAAACAGAGCTACAGCTAAATCATGGTAGATACCCAGGATGATTAAAAGGTAGATATTTTCAGTTACAAATTACTGACATTTTAGCTTTGTGAATGTTTCGACAACATTCCTCAGCTATGCTTACAGATATAATTATTAAATGTTCAAAGAATGCAAACAGTTCCTGATTGAACATTAAGTGCTACATTAAACATTTGCTATTATTAGTTTATGAGGATGAGGATGGCAAAAATGAGGTACACTAGTTTTATGTCCAACAAAGGAGCATTAAGCTAATGGTGTGGTGGTGGGTCGGACAGAATGTCAAGTATATAAAAGGATAATTTGGAAGGAAATACCTTTCTTGTGAAGAAAATAGAAGACATGTATTTGAATATACACCCTGTTATAGCTGGTAGTGTTGCCTCGTGTTTAGTGTGATGAAAATAGATCAGAACTTCAGAGGGGCAGAGAGGTATGAAGATGTTGGAGTACATACATCTTAATACATTTGGCTCCATAACCAGGGTGTGCCAGTAAATAATGAATGGTTAAACACCAGCTCCAGCATGAAGGCCACTGAACTATAGATTATGCCAATTACTGTGGCAAAGATAAGTCTACAATGGGCAATATCAAGCTAATGGCATGACAGAACTAAACACGTAGTAGGGAAGATGTCCATACAACTGGCTCTTAAATTAATATTGATCCGAGCAGGTCACTCTAACAGCTCAGAAGTATATATAATTGTGAGTATGAATAAGATCTAAGAAACTCTCGAACTAAAAATCTCTTATTAATAATAATGCTGATCAGCGTAAGAAACTTCAGAAAGGTGAAATCTGGGCAACATTTCCCTAAACCGAACACTATCAATACTGCAGCCAGTGAAAACGGCATTAATACACCAAGGAAAACCAGGGGTGGAATGAAAAGAACATATTACTAGGGGAAGGAAGAGGGGGAAGAAACAAGGCTTGCTTTCTGAAAAGAAATCGCTTTGATCTCAATCCAAACAGATTATTATAAAACCAGTCTGCTGCTATCTTCAAAAATACCTTTACTCACACATCCTGTCTTTCTAAATCGAGCAGTGAGTCAGCAGTAGGCAGCGCTGTTTGTGAAAAGCGACGGGGATGGAGGTGCTGCAGATGTCCAGAGTACTTCTAATGCATCCTCTTGCTGGAAGTCTCTGGAAGAGTAATTTTCTGGCACCCTTTCAACGTATAGGTCACTAGTTCAAATTCAATCTCAGTTGTACACGAACAAAAGTAGGTGGTTGATGTCCAGGATAAGTACTTTATGGTGCCTCTGTCTTTATTTCTAATAGGAACTGCCACTGCAATTGGCATCTTTTCTTCTGCTTCTTCCAGAAACAGAAAGCGTGAATAGAAATGCCGCTGCTAGCATTTTTTGTTTGTTTTTATACTCAGGAATTCTAAGATATGAAAAAGGCCAACTATTTTTCATTTTTAACTTTCAGGTAGAATTATTCTCCTATAATATGATCCTGAAAACATTCTTAGATTTACTTAAATGAAGCCTGAACCCAATTACAATTAAAATTATTTTTTACCTCATAGAACAGGATTTATATAAAAAGTGCATTCTTAAGGAAGATTTATGTGAAAGATGCATGGTTTCTTGGTATAAATGTTACAAAGCCAAGCTCATACTGTTTTCCTTTTCATGCTGTTATTTTTCCTTCCTGTTGCAATAAATGAGTGCTTGTGGGTATAAAGAAAAAATGCTTTCATTATTTTACTAAATATGTCTTAATATTTATTTTTTCCATTCTTTATAATAATTTGAGTTGTCCTTTTATCCCTCCCATTGAAACTTTTTTTTTTTTTTAAAGCAGGAGGTAATTTAAAAGTTGCTGTTTCTGTGAAAGGCACAAAGACAGAGACAAAGATCTTTCATTCATTTGGTCATTCCCCAAATGTAGGCAACACACTGGATGGGGGTAAGCTAAAGACATGAGCTTGGAAATTCATCTGGGTCTCCCACACTGGTGACAGGGACACAACTACTTGAGCCATAACCCAATGTCTCCTAGGGTTCGCATCAGCAGGAAGCTGGAATTAGAAGCAGAGCCGAAGTTTAACCCCGGCCGTTCCAATATTGGATGGGGGTATCCAAATGGTGTCTTAACTGCTGTGCCATATGTTCTCTCCAATTATCTCTATTTTTAAAAATTCTGTACATTAAATCCTCTGAATTTCTATATTGTTAATATATTTATTCTCATATAGCTTTCTATCTCACATATTTTAATAGTATAAGAACAATCAAAGGAAGCTCTCTAATTACCTTGAGAAAAGTAACAAAATAAATATTAAAGCAGGGGCACAACAAAATATCTGGTAACACCAACCAAATTTTGGCAGCCACAAATAACTAGCAGGATTTTATGGAAAAAGCCTACTTTTAGAAGAACAAAAAAACTTGTCCAACTGGTCTGGGGGCATCAGTCGCTTTTCTATAATGTTCACTTTTTACATGTAGAAAATATAGTGGATATATTTCATTACTTTTACATTTCTTTCTGTACAATCACTCTATGGAATCTTCACTTTGGCATTGGGATTTGTGTGAGAAGGTGTCAGGAATTATATGGGATCTGAGCAAGATGTAGCTGTATTTCTGGGATCTCATTCATTGGCAGATATTGATACTGAGATTTTCTTGGATCCATCACATTAAACTCTCCCCATAGCTTCAAAGCCAGCTTCCTGAATTATCATATAAGCAAATCCTGCAACTCCCACATAACAGAAAGAGAAGGTAAACCGTCCTTTGACCATCCATACATAGAATTACATTATGGTTCATTTGATTGTTATAACAAGTGACAGTTATCAACACTATACAACACTACATGAAGTTGAAAATTTATTTGGTAGCCAAACATGCTGTGGTCAGGAAGATATGAATACTAAAAACCAAGCTACCATCTAGGAATTAACTCATACACCTATGAATCTTGCTCTAAAAACAGAAAAATCACATAAACCTACTCCCTTCATCTGAACACACACAGCAGGGCACAATAATTCCAAGACTTATCCTGGCTTTAGAATGAAGCAGAATCTGCTTCATGTTTAGAATGCCTACCATCAGCATTTGAGTCTAAGGTTATTTCCTCTAGATAACACTGTATCAAAAATAAATCCAGCTGGTGAAAAGGCATCCAAGACAGAAAATAATAGTCAGCCGTAGACTCTTTGGATGCAAATATTCAAGTGCATGTTTCCAATTCCATCTTATTCCATCTTATTTTCCTCTCCAGATGGAATTTTCATTCACTACAGAGTAAGCAGGAATGTGGGGTTTGCTTCCCATGCACAAATAGAAAATTCATCAATCCACAGGCATGTCACTTTGGGGTGATACAGATCAGAAGATTAGATACATATGATAGATAGCAAAAACCATACCTGTAGATTTAATAAGACAGCACCAATCCTCATTGCTTCACTAATTTCAAGGCTGTACATCAGCTGTGGGAAGCGAGGAGGACTCTGATTATTTGGAGGAAGAACTTCAATGTACACAGTGCAGATGGAGTGCCTACAGAGAAAGAAGGGAGCAAGATGGTTAAAAATCTACATCACATTTAACACTAGGTGACACTTTTACAGGGTCATTTGATTTACTTGAGAAGGAACTTCCAAATTTTGCAGAAAGTGATTAAGATAGGAATTTAATGAAGGGAACATAATAATGGCAAGCAAAACATAATGCTTTTGAGAAATTATTTCAGTACAACTAAAGAACTGCCTTCAGTAGCTATTTTTCCTACTTAGATTAATAGTGCAAATTAAGAAGGAATAGCTGTACAAATAGAGCTAATAAATTAACTTGTCTTAACTTCTAACTTTATTTTTTAAATGCTCCCTTAATACAAAATGCATTCTATAAACATCTGGTAATAGGAGTTGTCCTTGGGGCTCTCTTCCTATTAAATTTACAGAGGGAGTATTGATTAAAAGAAAAAAAAACCTATGAGTGGAATTTTATTACTTCTGTTGCTCATATCAATGGTTTAATGTAAACATACATCAAGAGTAGAGATTATGAAATGATCCTTGTGTAAAATAGGTCCAAGACTGTTCTTAAATCTTCTTTATGTACATAAGAAAAAGTAGAATTAGATTTAACTAAAGGCTTTCATTGATAGTAAACATTTCATTTATTATTGATGAAATTTTCAAAATAAGACTTCTTATTTTATTCTATGGGTGGGGTAAACAATCTTGCATTTACCCTACTCACATCCCTTTTACTATTTTACATATTTCAATTGTACCTGTGTACTTTTTTTTTTTTTTTTTTGACAGGCAGAGTTAGACAGTGAGAGAGATAGAGAAAACCCTTGTACTTTTCTAAGTTAAATATCTTTATAGACAGTACCCAGTTCCTCTCCCCAGCAGGGAGTGTGGTAGTAATAGAGTTTGGGTATATTAGGTCAGTATCTTTGTGGTGGGACCCAAAATCCACGATTTCCATGGTTTCACTTTTACTAGTTTTTTGAAGATCATTACCCTAGAAACTCATGGAAAATATGACATGGTAGACTCCTTGGCTTTAAATTAGTAATCCTGAGATTTCTTTATAAACTGACTTAATGTTGTTCTCATTTACCCTGGGGCCAACCGAGTCCCTAACTTATCACTTTTTTTTTTTAATCTGAAACACACCCGTACTCCAAAATGAAGCTTTGTTTCAAAATGTTAGGTCCTGTTCTTTTTTTAATGTTTAAAAAATGTATCAGGCACATAAAAATTACACATATTTATGGGGAACAAAGTGATATCTTGATACATGTATAAGTAAGTTGTTCAATGTGCAATAAAGATAAATAGATCCAGCTCCTCAAATATTTAATAGCATTTTATGGTTAAAAAAACCCTCAAAATCCCATTTTAGGATACTTTTTCTTTTATCTTTAAAGATTTACTTATTAGCAGAGGGAGGAGGAGAAGGAGAGGAAGGGAGGGAGGGAGGGGAGGGCAGGGGAGGGGAGGGAGAGGAGGATGGTATTTTCTATCTAATGGTTCACTCCCTCAAATGGCTGCCACAGGAGGCCAAACCTAGGAGCCAGGAACTCAGTCCTGATCTCCAAGGTGGGTGGCAGGGCCCAAGCACTTGTGCTATCTTCTGCTGCCTCCCCATGTGTGTTAGGAGGAACCTGGATGGAAAGTAGATTAGCTTGGGACTTGAAACAGCACTCTTCAATCAGCAGCTTCATGGTTTGTACTATTTTTTTTTTTAAGAAATCCATAGTGTAAAACATTATAGTCACTCTATGGTACAATGGACCCCCAGAATTTCTTACATTTAGTACCTGTTAATCAATCTTTCCCTAATCCTCCCAGTCCAGCACCTGGTAACTACCGTTATACATATAAGTTTAAGGAGAACAAATTTTTTAGTTCCCATATATGAGACTCTTATTGATCATGGAAGTATGGTTTCACCAAAATGATTATACTTTGTGTATTCCTTATTTTTTCTCTTTGACTATCTTCTCATTTTTGTTGATGGCTACAATACTACAACAGGGATCTCGAAGTCATACCAGGTGCTACAGCATTTGCCATATGGAAGGAAACTCAAGTGTTCAAGTGCAAAGGACCGTTAGGCTCCACGGCAGAAGACAGAGAACAACATAGGTCCAGTGCAGAAATCTGCCTCCTTTGCCATTACTACTTTGCTCCCTCTACTCCTTTCCACAATAATTTAAATACTAGAATTGCTAATTCTGTTAATTGTGTCCCTCTTGCACTTCCATCACAGAGTTTTTTGGGGAAAATCATATTCCAAGTCTTACATTTCTCATCTTCAACATCTGGGCACTATCCTACAATGTATTTAAATCAACTGCAATCTTGAAGGTTATGGTCCTTTAAAGTGTTATCTCCTTTTTATCCCTGCTGTCAGTATAATGTCAGAATTAGCTTTCCCCAAACTGAATACCCATCATATTAATAATAAAATGAAAACATTAATGCTGCAATAAATAGTAGTAATTCAACAACATCAGTTAAGCACATAATAAAATAGGACAGTCACTAAGTAAATAATATTTTATGTGAGCATTTTGTATTTACATTTTATAGGTAGTCTTGAATGCATAAAATCGAGCATCCCTATAATACAAATTTAATTTGTTTGTAATATAGCCAATATTATGCAGATAAATCTTCATTTCTAAAAAATGAAAATCATAAAGCTTACTCCTCATTTAGTAATGAAGGTCAATGTAGAACAAAAGGTAATTTTAGGATTGTAAAAGATCCTTGAAACTATAAGATTTTACAAAAGATTGGAGAATCAGAAAGATTAAGTAAGTGAATCAAGGTTAAAACATTAATTAGCAACAGCAGATAAACCACAAGTAAGGCATTTGAATTAAAAATGTGACTGCCCTTCTCTTCAACATGCCACAGAAGCAAATTTAGAAATTAGAAAATTTTTACTAATTTTATGTATGTGAATTTAAAACATCACTGGTTTGTTTCTAACAAAAGGATGCTATTTTACAGAAAACCATAAATTATTTTAAGTGTTGGGTTCAGATTATCACAATTTTTAATTATTTAAACCAGGAATGACACTACAACACTTTTAGAATAAAATACAACATAAATAAAGAAGAGGTTGGCAGATTAAGATTTAAGATGCTTTAATTTTGTAAATAGAATATTACAATCAAAAGGATCAAAAAGCCAAATCTTTTTGATATGACAGTAATCTATTAATGAGAAGATGCTACTGGTATTTGAAGGATTGTATAGTCTGTATCATAGTTTTCAAATAAATACATGTATGTCAACATTGCTACAAGCTATTTTTTTAAAGATTTATTTATTTATTTGAAAGGCAGAGTTACACAGAGAGAGTAGGAGAAGCAGAGAGAGAGTGGTCTTCCATCCTGTGGTTAACTCTCTAATTGGCTGCAACGGCTGGAGCTGTGCCAATCTGAAGCCAGGAGCCAGGAGCCTCCTCTGGGTCTCCCATGTGGGTACAGGGGCTTAAGGACTTGGGCCATATTCCACTGCTTTACCAGTCCATAGCAGAGAGCTGGATCAGAAGTGGGAGAAGCCAAGTCTCAAACCGGTGCCCATATGGGATACTGGCATCTCAGGCCAGGGCATTAACCTGCTGTGCCACAGCACTGGCCCCACTACAAGATATTTCTAATTCTATGTTTCTACCTTGCTTCTAAGATGGTTACAAATTTTTATACTGCCTTCTCTAGAACATTTAAAACACAGAAATTGCTCTTTTTTCATTCTTCTCCCAGGAATAGAGAATTAGAAATGCTATATTTATAGTTCAGTGTTCTTAGGTCCTATATTACTATTTTGGAAGAAACAGACAGCAATCTTAAGGAACAAAGATTTAAATCAACTTGAAGAAAAGAGAAAACTTCTCAATGGAAGGTCTAGGGGCAGAATTTTAAAATAGCAGATGTATGTATTTATATGTAAAATAAAAATGCACTATAGCGAGGATGTATGTATAATTAATAAACAAGAGAACTGTATGTTTTGTACCACTATCTAAATGGATCAGTTAAAAGAGTTAGGATGGGAGTGTGGAATGGTGCAGTCTTGTGTGCAAAACTAGTTGATACAAACTTCATTTTGACAGTGGGGATCTGTTGATTGCAAGTCAATTATTGATAAGATCAAATGTGTTGTGTCATTCACAGTGCCATACACTCTTCTCATGTCTCCTTACCTTTTTTTCATTTTTTCCTCTCCTTGGAAATCCAATTGCTATTCTTGTCCAAATGAACCTCAAATTGCATTTACGCACTACTATATACCTAGATTCACCCGTGCCTCCTTCTGAATGAATGAGACAGACATCATTTCACTTGTCTTACCAGTCCAGGTCCTCCCCATGGCACAAATATGAGTGATAATAATTTTTTGTTAAATTAGACAAGTAAATGAATATTCAAATATTTTTGTTAATGTAAAATATAGCATGTTATTGAAAAGAATATATTTTCCTAATGGAAAAATGAGTTTGAGTGTGGATTATTTAATCTTGAGCAAATTAAAAAGAGCCTCAGATTCTATGTGAACAATACTACCAATAAAGAAAAACTGCATTATGTCTTTTATTAATCAATTATTCATAATTCTATTATAAGCTAATCAGGGAAAGGGCTACTCTTTATTGCATGTAGTTTTACAAATGTAGTATATTTTTCCAGATAGTAATAGGTTTTTTTTTGTTTGTTTTTTTTTTTTTTTGGACAGGCAGAGTGGACAGTGAGAGAGAGAGAAGGTCTTCCTTTGCCGTTGGTTCACCCTCCAATGCCCGCGCCTGGCATGCTGTGACCGGCGCACCGCGCTGATCCGATGGCAGGAGCCAGGTACTTCTCCTGGTCTCCCATGGGGTGCAGGGCCCAAGCACTTGGGCCATCCTCCACTGCACTCCCTGGCCACAGCAGAGAGCTGGCCTGAAAGAGGGGCAACCAGGACAGAATCCGGCGCCCCGACCGGGACTAGAACCCGGTGTGCCGGCGCCGCTAGGCGGAGGATTAGCCT